TCTTATTATTTTCCAATAATCATTATTCTGTTGTAAGTTGGACATGAAGATTTTAGTTCAAAGATGAAACTACGAAAGCTTATATCCAATTAATCAGTTCAACCCTAGACAGTAAACAATATTACTCCCCCAGGCCAGGATAATCTAGCCATGTTCAGGTGACCACAAGGTGTTAGGCAAAAAAGTATTCTGTCCAATCACATGACATAAGAATCACCTGAGATAAAAATTTTGCACATTCAGCCATGGTAGATAATTCTCGTTTCTGTGATGCTGCATCAAACCGAGCCAACAATCTATTCTCCAGTTCTGCATGACAGGTAATAGGAGGAAAAACGTCACCCTCTACAATGTTACTGTAAGCAAAAGAGAAAAATCCACCAACCATAAACATCTTTATCACTTCTTCTTGTTCTTTTTTTTTTTTTTTTGGGGGGGGGGGGGGGGGCTTCCATGGCTGCAAGGCTTGGCAGGACCAAATAACCTTGAATTGGTCCTTGTAGAGATCTGAACAAGGGACTCTCAAGACAATGAGTGTATGGTGATAATTATTTTATCAAAATATCCTTCAAACATTGAAAGTAACAAAGGTAATTTCTGATTCCAAGGAGATGCATAAAAGCCAGTAATGATATTCCTTTTAAGCATCACAATCTGCATAGCTTTCTTCCTCCTTTGCCAATATGGATCTGACTTTTTTGTTGTTTAGGATGAAAGGAGAAGGGATAATTAGAAGTAAGGAATTGCATGGTACAGAATTGTAAATGAGACATCCTCTGTAAAGGAGGATAGAACAACCATCTAAATCAAAATATCAAAGCAACACAATCCTTTTCTTGAGAACTGCCCCTAAAGACATCTGCTGCCATGACAATGCTCAAAGGCAAGAAGAATATCCTATTCCACAGCAACTGACTTAGTGTGAAGTAATAAGTGAAAATCAATGCACCTCCTCTCCATCGAAATGCACATACAGCACATCTCCATAAAGAACTAAAATCTTTCTCCCATTAAAAACCACAGAAGAATCCAACACTAGTTCTTCTAAGAATCACCTACTCACAGCTGAATTGCGAACACATAGCCCTGCCACATATCCCACGCTACAGGGCTATGTGGAAATAAATCACTCCAAGATTCTTCATTATGATGGCACATAACACAATTATTCAGAGACTGGACCATATGGAAATGTGTATCCGCAAACTCTTTCTCATCACAAGCTAGCCCTTTTCTTCTAACCTGATGACGATGTTTGACGATATATGGTATAACCATTAATAGTTATTAAACTACACAGTTTGTCATTTGGACATAATTTTTCACTATTTTCATTTAACACTAAATCATTGTATTGTTTTCATGCACCATGCATGGACTTCCTGTGGCAGTACTATCAAATCCAAAAAGAACAATGTGCATAACACATACCATTGCAGTAGTCCTGAAGATTAGTGACTGCAACTTCTAATCCTCGGTTTGCAGTTGCATTTCCCATGACTGATGTTACAGTCAAGTCTTGTCTTCCAATATCTTCCTCAGCGAATGACCCTATAGAAAAGCGACAGAGATCATGCAGCATGACAAGAGCTTGAGGTTGAAGAATTATGAAATTCCAGAGCTTTGTGAGAACATAATGTCATCTTACGTAACTTCTGCGCAATTGAAGCCGCCTCAGCAACACGGCTGTCATCTGAAAACAGAGGTGAAAGTTCCATTAAGTCCCCTGGGCTGCCATTGAATTCCATCATGTACTGCAAAAATTAAGTAAACAAGGTGTTAATGCATTGTTAGGCTAGGCTAATAAGCATAAAAAATAAGTTGATGGGCAGTACCTTTATGAGCTCTATTGTTTGACTAGCTGTTTCCCTCTGAGCATCTGCACTCTGACATCATAATAAAAAGGGTAAAATAACTATAGAACTGAATACATAGCAAAATTATAACCGAGTATAAGAAAAGTTTTACCTGCAAATGGTCTCCTATTTTGGCAGCAGTCTGTCCAACACTTGAAATACGTGTGTCAAGCCTTGCAAAGCTATCAAACAAGCCATCTACACCTTTTTCCAGCTGAAAGACAAAATCCATAGCAAATGAAATCAAGATTTTTGCTAAATTAGATGGATCGCATAAACCAAACAAAGAGAAACAAAATGTTCTTGTCTTAAAGGAGCCAAACCAACCGAATGCCCTGAAGACCTAAAAACCACTAGCCAAAAATGGATAATGAAACCCAATCAATTTTATTTTCTTTCATTTTCTTTTTATTTAAAAAGGATTATATATTTTTCATTGCCTAACTTCAGTTCTTCATTACTTTTAAGCCAATCAATTATATAGAACTAAATTTGTAGCCGCGCTCCACCGCGGGTTGGGCAAATATTGTTTTCAATGTAAAAATGAATGCTGAGGAAAAAAGATTTGAGACCTGAGTCATTGGTTTGATTAATAATTTAAATAATATGATTAAGAAAAATACAACAATAAATAAAAAGACAAAAAATGTCAATGAAAAAAAGGTTAAAAAAGCCCAATCTGATCTAACCCAAATTATCAAACAACTTAATGATCAAGAGCAAAATTGAAAAAAAAAAAAAAGAGGAACAAAAAAAAATTAACCTAGTTTAACTAGCAAGCTTTGTGACAATGAATATAAAATGGGATAATCTCATAGAAAAAAATACAGGAAAAAAAGTTTAACTATCAATTCTTAATAAATCAAATGAGAACATGACAACTCCACAAAAAAAAAAAGGAAAAAGACTTAGCTCAATCTCTAGCAGATAAAATGTTAAAGGATAAAAATCAAGGAAAAAATATAATTTAAAAACGTAAAAAAAAACTTCCAAGCCCAACTAAGTAAAAATACAAAATCTCTGACCTAGTTGTAATACCAAGGTGAATGCATTTGAAAGAAAATTAAATAATATCATGAAGCTTAATTATCAAACAACTTAATGCTGAAGGGTAAAAATGAAAAAAAAATTAAAAAAGCAATGAAAAAAATGAGTCAACGCAGATTATCCAGCAAATCCCTCAATCATTGAAATTGTGAAATTCTTAAACCAAATTCAATCAAGAAACTTAATTTCTAACTAATTTAATTTTAAAAAATAAAATTGTAAGAAAAATATCAATATAGAAAACTTTCTAAAAGAAAACAGATAGCAAAAAAAATGTGAATCAAGTTCGGTAGGAATAAAAACCCATAGATGATGAAATTGTAAAAAAAAAATGACCAAAATAACCCAATAAAAGAAAATGAAAAAAAAAATGCAAAAACCAATTTCCAATAAATCAAATGTTAAAGGATAAAATTGAAATAATTTAATTTTAAAAAAGATCCAAAAAAAAAGTCAATTAGCTTTAACCTTTAAAACCGGTAATCCTGGTCCTAAACCTGGGATTAACCTCGTACAAAAAAACAACTCAGTTATCCCACAAATATTGTGATCATGAGCGCATGATCGGTATAGCCCAATACAAAGAAAAGGAAAAAAATAGAAAGACCAATTTCAAATAAATTAAATGTTGAATGAATAAATTGAAATAAATCAATTAAAAAAAAAAGGACAAAAAAAAAAAACAAAACTCAACCTAATTAACCTTTGAAACTGGTGACTTTGGTCATGAACCCGAAATTAATTCCATAAAAAACAAACCGTAAATATTAATAAAGAAAATATTTATAAAAAAAGGGTAAAAAAAATTAGCTTTAAAAAGGGAGAAAAAAAGTCAACTCGAGCAAACCTCTTAAACACGGTCTAACCTAAAAAAAGTAGAAAGATCAAATTCAAATAAATTAAATGTTGAAGGATCAAATTGAAATAAATCAATTTAAAAAAGGACCCAACAAAACAAAATTCAACCTACATTAACCTTTTAAACCGGTAACTCCAGTCATGAACCCAAAACTAATCCCATAGAAGGCAAACTGTAAAAATAATAAAGAAAATCTCTAAAAAAAAGGTCAAAAATTAATTTAAAAAAACATTAGCTTAAAAAAAAGAGGAAAAAAAACAAGTCAACCCGAGCAAACTTTTTAAACTCCGTATAATCTCTAAAACTCAAAACCTATGAAATCCTTGAATCGAGTTCAATTAAAAAGTTTAATTCCTAGCTAATTTAATTTTTGGAAAATGAAATCATGAAAGAAAATCAATTTAAAAAAACTTATAAAAAAAAGGACAACAATAAAAAGAATATATATCAGATTTGAAAGAAAAAAAACTCAGAGAATAAAATTACAAAAAACCTAAAAAATAATGCTAAACAAAATAAATAGTAATAAAAAAAACCAAATTTGAAAGATAAAAATAAAAGGAGGTGAGATTTAAAATCAATTGTAATTTTATAGCATATTAAAAATATTAAAAAAAAAAGTAATCAAGGGGCCAAATCTAAAAGATTAAAAATTAAAAGGAAATGAAATTGAAAAATATTTGTAATTTCATGGCTCATTCAAAGTAAAAAAAATAGCAATCAAAAGAACAAGAACCACGTATAAAGAAGGAATACATTGCAGGGGCTAATCTGGTTTTTTGAAGGGGCTAACATGGAATTCAAGGGTGGGGGTAAAGAGAGAGAGAGAGAGAGAACGATCATTAGCACCAAACTCGATGCATATTAGGGGCATGTGCTGCCCCATTACATCGAGAGCATCAAGACTTTTCAAATGTCACCCTCCAAGGAGACATTTGGTGGTCAGAAGGCCTTTCACACACTATCAGAACAACACGAGAGTCATCCACACGCTGGTGCGTGCTACTAATAGGTTTATTTTATAATTATATTTAATAAATATAATTTACAACAATGCTCATGCGCACCCTTAGAATTACAATAAAACCAATGTAAAATAACAAAAAAAAACATTTAAATGATAATTTTGTTGATTTAAAGGCATCAACATAATTACATTATTCTAAAAAAATTGAAAATACTAAAATATCCCTGAATAGTAGGCATTAGATTATTTTATTCTAAGATTAAATTAATAATGTTATTATACAAAAAAAAAAAGATGAAATTATCAATCTAACCCCATATAATTTGTGAAAAACAATTGTGTTATAGTGAAAAGACCATTTTGCCTCCGATAACTAGTTCAAAAGTTTTTTGTTCAAGGTCAATTTCATAATCACACTATTACAATGAATAGTAATATGAGTTTTGGTGAACAATAACTTTCCTAGGAGAATTAGTTTTTTTTAAATTTAATCGGCCACTAAAAATTAAAATGAAAGAAATTATTATATAATATCACTGAACTAAAGGAAATGGAATTAGCTTCCACGTACATTTATGTATGTGTGTGTTATGTCTGGTCACTACTAGTTGATGCACTGTGACATAATATAGGTTCTGTTTATTTCTGCGTTTTAAAAGCATTTTTAAAAAAATTTAAATTTTTTTTATTTTTTTATTAACTTCAAATTAATATGTTTTTAATGTTTTCAAATCATTTTGATATGCTGATATCAAAAATAATTTTTAAAAAATAAAAAAAATCATTGACATATATTTTAGCATGAAAAGCTATTTGAAAAGCAACAATAACCACACTTCTAAACAAACCCGTAGTCATCATCATTGTGCCTGTTATAGAGGTCCAATCAGGAAGTAAAAGATAAAAAAGCTTTTGCAGTTTACTTCAGAAAAACACATATCGCAACAGTTTTTAAAATGATTCAAATACATGCACACAGACACCCATAAACTCACCTCAGCAAGTGTTTTACGGTGCTGGGAATCTTGGACAGAAACCTCCTTCTTGAAATTGTAGAGCCTTCCATTAATCTTCAATCCAAAAAAAATTTCACCAGAGAAATTTTTTACAGCTTCGTATTATTCATCAAATACTCTTGACAACCTACCTGTTTACGGAGGTTTATCAACTCCCTACAAGAATCCCGGAACAAAGACAAAAGACTATCCACTTCAGGAAATAAAGGAGAAGACAAGCCTTGCGCCAATGGGGCTCTTGCATGTCCAGTTGCTAACACATCACTCCCACCGACACCATCAGCTGAATCTGCTTCTTCATCTTGGAAAGATGGGAGTAGATCATTTACCAAGTTCCCAAATAATGCATCAAACGAAAAATCACCCTACAAATTGAATTCAGACTGCAAGTTTTAAACATAAAACAAAGCAAAAGGTATGATACCAAGTTTTCCTCATGAAGATTAAGCTGTCCACTATCTACTCCTTACCTTGAAATCACCTATATCCAGAATGAGTGGAAGAGAGAGGTAACTGACGAAGATTTTGAATTTATATTGCTCCTGATTCCATCTATACTATCTTTCATCTGCTTCACATTATGCATATTACGGTAAATCATCACCGGAAATTAAAATTTCAAGCACTGATAATAACGCTGATAATATTTCAGAAACCCTAGCTAAAAAACTTGATCATCATCGCATGGGCACCAAAATAATAAGTGTGCCGGAGAGATTTACCTTATGTAAGCTGGTTTTCTCTCAGTAAATTCTAAGCTGGAAATTTCGTTACAATGAACCAAAAAAACACAAACCATAAAATTTAATCCAACTTTATCTCCTGCTTTCTCCAATTTTCTCATAAATCAAACAAAAAGGAAAAGGAAAAACCAATTCAGCTTCCCATCTAGTAGTAAATGCTAGAACCAGTATACAATGCTCAGTTGATCACGAAATGACCATAAACCCCTCCATTAAATCTGAGAAAATTTAAAATAAACTAAAACGCGTGCAGTTTATAGATCATGAAGCAGAATTGATAAGAATGTTACCTCGTCAGTGATTGAATCAGAAGAAGCAGAGCGCGGAGACGATGGCCACAGAGAGGCTTTGGCTCGCAATTTCTACAACTTGGTAGGGTAGATCGAGCTTTTGCTGAGAAAGAGAGACAAGAAACAGACTCTTCATCAACGAAAACTACAATGAATGATTTTTGTATTTTACAAGGTTCTGTTTTGGCCTTAATTTGGTAGAAGGAAGGGTCATGCTGAGTAGCGTTAGATTGGGGGATTACGATGCAAGGTAAGTTGGGATGAAATATATACTATTTAAAAATATTTTTTATTTGAATATATATTAAAATAGTTTTTTATTTTTAATATTAATATATTAAAATTATTTTAAAAAATCAATTTTTTAATTTTTTAATTTAAATGTATATAAAAAATAGAAATTATTATATCCTCTAGTACTCACAAAAAATATTTATGTATCACAATATCAGAATATATATTATAAAAGTATTGATGAATTTTAAAATTAAAAAAAAAATGCCTTAGAGGCTCCGATTACCCTCAAACCATTTTTCAAAGTCATTTTCTCGTCTCATTATATTAATTAACATTTTTCAACCACTCCTCTTTTCATCTAGGAGGCGAGCATTTTCAATTTTAGTTTGATTTTCACTTAAAAAATAATCGAAGTAAAATTTACTTATTTTTAATTTAAAATTAAAACCAATTTAAATTGGGCAATTTTCAATTTATTTTGATTCAATTTATGTTGTTAGAAAACCAAAAAATATTTTTTAGGTTATTTTGTGATTTTTTATGAGCAATTAAAATAATTGATATAAAAAGCCTATTCTGATTGTCCAATTTTTTATGGGTTTTAAAACACCTTTTGATTAATTTAAAAATCCTTTTCCAATTTATCAAAAAACATTTTTGTGTTTTTCAGTTGGGTTTTTTTTTTTTAAGAGAAGCTACTCGGTATTAAATATCAATCAAGCCAACTCGATTTCATTATTTGTCAAAAGCAGGATGTTACACAACTACCATAAACAAACCAATAGCAGAAGCAGTTAGCAACAAAATTAAACAAATACCCAAACATTAAAACCATTACAATAACTTAAAAATTTAAGCAGCATTTTAACCATGCAAGAGAAGTTAACTCCTTCACTTAGAACCAGATCAACTATTCAAAGTATCTGCATTTAATTAACTCAATGACAAGATTATATTGTCATTATCATAAATTCACATATTGATTATAAAAATTTCACATCAACTCAAAACTAGACAGATAAATTTAAACCATACTTTAATGGCATAAAACACTCGCCGGTCCTGTTTATTTATATATTTTAAAAGAATTTTAAAAAAAAATTAATTTTTTTTATTTTTCACTTCAAATTAATTTTTTTGATATTTTAAATTATTTTAATGTGTTAATATAAAAATAATTTTTAAAAAAATAACCACAATCATACTTAAAAGAATTAAAAAATATCACCTAAATCTCAAACCATGTAAATCCATTGCAATTAAGAAATAAATTCAATCATCATGATGCTTAAAAAATGATCAGGCATCCAGACATCATGATTCAAGATTCAAGAGAGGGAGAGAATAAATATAAATACCTTGTGTTTGCGTGTTTTAATAAAATTTGATTTTTTTATTTAAAATCACTTTTCATATATTTTAATTGTTTGGATGTACCGAATGTTAATATAATTTTTATAAAATAAAAAATATTATTTTTTAATATATTTTAAAATAAAAATATTTTAAAAAATAATTCTTATCGAACTTTTAAACATTTCCGAAGCCATTAACACCGTTACACGTGCAACTATTGGGAGCATAAATAATCTAGTTTCAGTAATAAGAAAAACCAACTAAACTTAAAATTCAACATAGTGAAAGCCCTAGTCTAGTCAAGATTGTCTACACGTGTCCTCTAAAGTGAGCACGAACTCAATTTCTATAAAATATGTAAAACCTTACTTATTTTGAACGTCAAGAAAATCTCCACCATTAAATTTGTAATAACTTTAGCTTGCCGGAGGTAAATTATATTTAATCTTGAGAGAAATTTTCAGAAATTTTCAAGAATTTGCTATACCATGTATAACTTTTATTCACTTTCAAATACAACAAATGATTGAATAGAATTTACTCAACATGAACTCATAGTAGCTTAAGTTGACCTGCAAAATGTAAAATTTATTGAATCACATTAATTCATTTTATAACTATATACTGTTTTTTACTTTCACTGTGCATTAATTATTTTTTACAATCTTACTTATTATTATGGTGGAACAATGTTTTTTTTTTTAATTTTGATCCTCGAATTTTTACTCTATACAATTAAACTATTTTGATCATAAACTATACTCGTTAGCGTCTTTTCATGAAGAGGTTGACTTAGAAAAAAGACTTGAGTGACAAACACCGGTAAAATAGATGGCAAATTTAAAGTTTGTTTAAAAATTTCATTTTAATACCTCATTGTTTTTAGATTTTACATAACTGGTTTAACTTTTAAAATTTTAATTTTGATACTAAATTTTATTTTCTTTATTTTTTTATTTTTTGATAAGAAAAGAGAGAGAGTCTAGCCAGGTTCTAACATTAAGAAAGAAAGTTGTTGTTAGAGATGATTTTAGCAACTAAAATAATTGATTTTTGTGTAAAATGATCATACATGATCAAAGAAGTTCAAATTTGGTGTTTTTTATACCTTGAAAGTGTAAAAAAAATAGAAAAGATATTAAAAAGATTTTTTTGAGTTGGTTTTGTGTTTTAAGGTGTTTTTTGAACGTTCGAAGGCAATGAGTTGGTTTAACAAGATTTCTAAAGTATTTTAGGTCAGGATTTGGTTTAAAATAGGTTTTTGGAAGAAAAAAACATAAACTCTATTCTTTTAGTCACCTAAATGGTCGGAATTTGGAGAATTCATATTCCGTGTTATCTATTTTTTTTTCAAAGAAACTAGGACACTCACTCCATTAACTTAAAAAATAAAGACTCGAGCGCGAGCCATTTCTTAATGAGTTAGGTGTTCAGCCTGGCTTACTAGACTTGGCAACACCTGACCTTATTATTTTTTTTAAAAAAATTGATTTGTTTTAAGTAATAATATATTTTTTTTAATTAATTTTAATTTTACATCTTAACCAGTACCCTTTCTATATGATTTTTTTGCTTGTTTAGTTTTTTTCAATAGTGATTTTTTTTTTATTATATTAGGTGTATTTAACTTTTGAAAAGGCTACTATGATTCATCTATAATTATTTTTTATATTTTATATAGATTAAATTTATTCTTTAAAATTAAAAATGTTTTTTCCTATAACATTTTTAATACGTGTAGTCTTGTAAGATTTTTTTTCCTTTTATTTCTTTTCAAAAATTTTATGTGTTTGTCGATTTCTATTAAAACTTGATTTTAATAAACAAATTCATTAAATACAACTAAATAAATAGCCCGTGTTGTGATATTAATATTTTAATCTATATTTATCTTTTATTTTTTCTAGTTTTATTTTTATTTATAATTGATTTTTTCTATTAAATTGTCTCGATTTCATTACATAAAACATATAATAAACATGTAATCTGGATATATCTTATGTTCAGATCACAAGTTTTATATGTTAGCTCCATTTTATCTAGAATAATATATTTTATTTATTTATTTGTTGTTGTTACCTTTATTTTTATTATATTATTAAATTAATTAAGCTTTAACTTCATTATTATTAATTTTTTATAGGTTAAACAAATTTGTTCAATTCATGACATCACGCAGAAAACCAATCTAGTAGTACCCTTCACTTAACCACATAACAAAAGGAAACCCACTTCGATTTTCTTGATCATTGGTCTCCAACAGTGTGTAGCTTGTAGCATTACACTAAGCAGACACCAAAATACCATCTTTTTTTCTCAAATAGGTGTCTCCTAAGCATAAAATTAAAGCAAAAGAAACAAGTAACATAAAAACTCAAAACTCATTATTTCTTGGTCTTTCCTTGCTCTTCTACCTCGTTATCAACACCCTTAGTAACAAGCTGATGAAATAAATGAAGAGTTGGGTGTAGCAGGCTGATTCAAGACCTCCTGTGGTGACTCCACCGCCTCTGCAGCCTCTAGAGATTGAGAGAGGTAGAAGGGGTGGGGTGGGTTTGGGTTTAGCAAATGTAAATTTCAATATTTATACCCCTGTTTATTTTCCCCTATTTAAACCAATTCACTTGCACCAACCTTGTATGAAAATTCCAAAATAAATACTCTATCGTTTCTCGTTGTCACGACATTTATCTCACAGTAGAACTCTTATTGAAATCCAGAATGTTCTTGAGTATGCTTGTGACGGCATCATGCTTATGTTCGACAGTCGAATAAGCACAGTAGCATAGATTTTTTTAACAAACAGCCCCACCAACACCAACGCACCATGCCTAAGATGCTCGTGTTGGATTATCCTGTCTCTACCAGTTATTTTTTTTCATATCTTCGGTATAAAGTAGTCTCCAAAAAGAACATACTTAGTGTTTGGTACCGCAGTATATTTTATTTTTTAAGGTATTTTTTATTTAAAATTATATATAAAAATATTTTTTCAAAAAATATTTTAATATTAAAACGATCCAAAAATAATAATATTTTAAAAAAAATCAAAATGCTATCTTCCAAATACCTGAGAAGGATTCTCAAGTATCATGTAGAGAGAAAAAACATGGGTTGAAGAAAACTGTTGTGACCGCAATTCATTTCCTGGCAATACTTTTTCAAAAAATTTAGCGTGAATTCTGGAACATCATCCAGAACGAGGATATATCCAAAATATACTCCAATCCTGTACATTTCGCAAAATATAGCCAAACATCTCCTTGCCATTCTCCAATTCGATCTCGATTTCCATGGTCATCAACGAAAAGAAAAGGGAATCTCTAGCTAATGAGAAGCCATCACTAGGGGGCTGAAAACTCCCACTCAAATTGCTCTAAAACAGCATCGCAGGCCAGAGTGTTTGATATTGTAATAATTTTTAAGATATAATAAAAATATTTTTTAAAAAATATATTTTATTATGATTATGAGCTTAAAATATATGATAGATTTCAAGCGTGGTTCAATTTTATATTCATGAAAGCATGTTAAAAATATTTGGTTAGAAATTGTGGTTCAAATTGAAATTATAGTATAATTATTTGAAAAGACTTGATTTATAATCTTAATTTTTAATTACATAAAAAATAATTTTATAACCAATAAAATATTATAAAAAAGATTTAAACATATTAGAATAATATTTTATAATTGTATCATTGAATTTACTATAATCTCATCACGTATGTAATTTATATGCAAAAGCTTGTGGTTTCTTTGAACTTATGAATGTAGAGTCACATTAGTTAAAAAATCATTGGGAATAAAATCGAGACGATAATGAAACTCCATAAATACCACATCTTACAATGGAGTTTTTTTAATGTAATTATGAATTGTCATGAATGTGATGACAATTTGAACTTGCACCTTTAATTAAATGATGGCATATTTTGTAAGGTTCACCATCTTTTTTTTCAAACTCTATATGCATGTTCTATCAAACAATGTAATAAAAAGTGGACATGGTTGAAAATCTCTTCACAAGTTTATAATTGTCCTCACTTCAAAATTCTTGCAAATGATATCTTTGACCTTTATATGGACCTAAAAATCCATATTCATTAGGATATCTCAAATCAACCAAGTAGTATTTTGATTAGTACTTAAAAGTGCATTTTTATCATGATTTTATATCATCATTTTGCACTTGAAGTATCAATAACTCCTTAAC